TGGATGCCCCATCCCTGGAAACATTCCAGGTCAGGTTGGACGGGGCTCTGAGCAACCTGATTTAGTTGAGGATGTCCCTGCCCACAGGAGGGGGGGTGGACTAGATGACCTTTAGAGGTCCCTTCCAACCCAAACTATTCTATGATTCTATGATTCTATATTGAAGAAATTCAACCAGTTGAAGGGCTAATCTTTCTATTTCAATCCTGTCTAATCTAACCTATCTGTCTATCCAGGACCTTAAATGACTTTCTATCACAACAGAGCCTGTGCATCTCCCATCAGGGCATCCACCTAGAGGCAGCTCGCTCTCAGCGCTTCCTTTCAGTCCTCACCTGCCCCCCTTTCTTTTCTGCCAGATGAGACATGGCTTGGTTTATATGGCATAGCTGTTCTGAGCTGCAGTATTATTTGTGGGCAGGTGAGGTCAAACAAACAAGGTCTTGCAGCTAGCCTTGAGGTTCATGGTCATGCTGATGGCAGGAGTCAGCCCAGCTCCGGCAGCTCACTGCAGGGAGAGCATGTGTCTCCTGCACTGCTGGAGTTTTAGTTGCAGAGCAGGAAAGTACTGTAGCAAGTGGGGGGGAAGGATGCTTTTACTAGATATGTTTTGTCTATGAGTTTGTGCAGTCTGTCCCACCACCCCTTAGAGAGCTGGGGAGGAGGAGAGCAGTTGACTTAGAGGATGAAACAAAGACCCCTAAAATCACCTGGATTTTAGCCTCTTTGGCCCTTAAGATGTTACAGATGTCAGTGTATCTGGGGAGTGGCATGAAGCAGATTTAGTAAGATGGTAAGAAAAAACATTCCAAGAAATTACACAGGATCTAGTCTTCTCTTTTCATATGCTTCAGGCAGGTACCATATCCTGGCACCATACAAATAAAACACCATTAAGGCATTTCACAGCTACTCTGCATTCCACTTTACACTGTTTTACACATTTGACCAGGTGCAAATGACAATGGAAGGTGCAAATAATCTGTAAAACATCTCTGCATTGTCTTGCCCACTTCACGGGATGTAATGTGCTGGGTAGAGCCTATTTCTTTCTCTCTATCTCAAATTCCTACAGACATAGCAAACTTGAGAACTGCATGATGATTCTTGGCTTTACTTCAAGCTGAAGCAAAGACTACTTTGTGCCATTTTTTTTCTGGCTCGACTGAAGAAAGACTTGTGTCATTATTCTACATGACAGTTGATCTATGTTTATGCTAAAGGTTTAAGATGTTTTTGTTTCCTTATTCTGCTTCCAAATGCGCTTGGTGCTTGAAACTCAGCTTACTTCTGGTGTGTAAGACAATTCAGGGTCAATGCCTGTGCATTTTGTTTAGGCAAAAATATGTCCAAGCTTCTAATTAAATCAATATTCGCTTACTTAGGTGATAAACTAGTATTTATTTTCAGGGTTATGAGAAAATAGTGGCAAATCCAATGGGAGGAAATATTTTAATGTGCAACTTTGTTCCCTAGTACTATTTCATACCAATAATTTTCCTTTTTATAAGCTTTAAAAGAAACCCTGCCTCCACAGAAATCAACGCACATTTTTGCCATAGACTTGAAGACAGGATTTCCCCTTTTTATATATTCTTCACAGAAGGCCTGATCCTGAAAACACTTAAATGAGTAAATTAGCTGTGATCCCATTGATTTCAATG